TATATCATTTTTACGATGACTTTTTGTATAATCAAGTTCTCTCATTAGAATATTTCGACGATACATTATGCAATTGTGATCGTTAAATTTTAAATAAGCAATAAATACATATGAACATTCAAAGAGAGAAGAAGAAGAGACTATTATGACATAACATTCATTTCAGATTCATTTAGATATGTTAAAAAATAATTACACGCTAACTGCAAAGTATATTATGTTTTAACACTCGTTATGTTTGAATTGTTTAACATGTTGTAGGTATAAGCGTGGAAATATTTTCATAGATTAGAATGATGCATCTCTGTATATATTCATGATTCAGTAATGAAAAATGAACGCGTTTCGTGGTAAGATTAATTGAAGAGATACTTTATCGGGTATGCAAACGCAAATTAAGAAAACATTTTTATGTCTTTAACAAGTCAATTAACAGTTGACAAATAAAACAAATAACAATATTTTATGGAATAAATGACGTTGCGCGTAAACTTGACACCAGCCGTGTCTTTTGATAACAATTTGCAGTATTTTTTTTCTTAAATATTTTCCAACTTTATCTTATCATATATTGTACAATTATATTAATTGTTTTAAGTATTAATACGTCATTTTAAATGTTATTATAATTATTAATCATAATCAGCTAAAAGTGCTTGCAATCATTATAAACTTAAGATAGTAAAATGTTGCCTTGCAAAATTAATGACCACTATAAACATCACCGTAATAACCAACATCCATTAAATTCGTTGCTAAGAAATAAAAATGTAATTATTAAAGTTTCAATATAACTCTATTGCTTCATATAAAATTTACGAGACATTTACTTCTTGTTCATCGCTAAAACATCAATATAAAAATATATAAATACATGTATCTTTTCTATATTCAAAATCTTCAAAAAATTTCCTCGTAAAAAACAATCCTTCAGAAGTATTTAGATAATTATGTAAGTCTGCCCCTATTGTTTTACGTGCTGAAAGCAGCCAAACATGTGTAAATTGTTATGACAGAGAAGCCCTTTTTTCCGACAGTCTGATCGCCACCCATTGACCTACTTTGCATCTGACCAGTAAAGCGGTTTTAACGACTCCGTGCACCAATCGAAAAGCCAGCCCTGAGATGAGAGATAACCGAGCATGGCCTTGACATTCATACGATAACTCGGGCGATTTATCAGACGTACGAATATATCTATGACTCTTTATGGAAAGGTGCCGTTTGGCATTTAATTCGAAGCTTAGCGTGTCAAATACTCGTGATCGATATGTCATATCATATAGATGATATTAATAATAAATAACCCGATAAAAACAGTCGTGATAAAAACAAAAGTTACAACATAACAGAATAACATTGCAATAATGAGTATCTCCCTCTCTTTAACGCTTCCCTTCTATTAAATCGTTAAAACTTGGGAAGTAAAACTTGTAAAAAAACGAATTTAAACTTAGGAGACAAATTCGAAATTGATTTCTGTATATGTATTTCATATATGATATATTCAAATCTTGTCAAAGCAGACTCGCGAGAGCTATAATAAATTTCATTAGAGTCATTAGGTCTAAGATCGAGATTCATTAGTATGTATGTCATATCGCTCTTCATTAGTTCCATCGGGTTCTAATATTTGCACGCGAAATTGTTTCTTAATTGTTTGATAATTGGTGTAATTCCGCATAGGCGATGAGGTAAGATCGCATGTTGCGGGCCGCGCACATGGCCTGTCAGGCGAGCTATGGAAATCGCAGCATGCGAGAGTGCCATGGAACGAACCAGCCCGCAGAACTTCTCGTTTTACTCTCATTAACACGACGGACAATCAACCTTTCGCCGCATACGCGCGAGAATATGTGCACTCTGAACACACGTGTGGGCGCGATATGCTTCCTCGTTTAACGAGCCTGCTCCACGAAATTTGGCGCACTCGATTAATCCGTCATCCGATGAGAGCCACGATAGAATTTTACCGCGAGAAGTGACCAACGTGTGAAAATACGTTGAATCGCATTCTCACGTTTTATTTAGTTGTAATGTCCATTTTTCGGTCATCATAAGTTTTGCGTGCATCATAATTTTTGTATGTCAGGTATTTGACGTTATCATTGGCGGCATTGTGATTGTAATTTCTCTCTGTATTTCTCTGTATAGAGGAGCTCTAGGGAAACAGGAGAACGGATAAACAGAGGTGGATTAAGATAGAAAGATAGCCTTGAACTGAGGTTCCCGTGATCGTCATCGTTGTCTATTATACTAGCGCGCGTTACGAGGCGCATTACGTCTTATACGCAGCTCGTCGTTGAATTAGCATGAATGACGACGCTACAAAATGGTCCCACAAATAATTATTCTATTATGGCAATTTTCTCGCCCGTATAAATTGACTGTATTTATTATATCTGCAAGAAGTCTTTTTTTGCATTCTGCTTTCGAAAAAGATATTTTTGCTCTGCGATTATCGCAGGGTATCTGCGTATATCGGCGTATCTGCGATCAAACATTGATAATCGCATTAGCGCTTACGAAATTAGAAATTATATTTAAAGGCTCTGAATAAAATAAAATAAATTTGATTTCGCGAATGTGTAAACGGAACGTAACTGCAAGATTTGCAAAATGCAAGATTAATAAAATGCAAGTGTCAGTCGAAATCAATGTGTGAAATCGTCGCTTGAGTCGTCAACACACGGAATAATTCTAAATGTGCAGTAAAATGTCTTTTCTGAGTAAAGACGTGGAATACGTTACGGATAATCGATAATAGCAACTATTAAACTCATCAACGATCATCCTCTCGTAGAGTATTCATTTATTACGAATGTCAGTACTTGTACGCAGAGGATTTCCGATACTCCGTGAACGACTGTCACGAGCGAGTTGATGTGCACGGCGAAAACCAATCCAAAACAACAGAGAAGGCAACAGACAAAAGAGAAATCGACCTAGCAGCCTAGAGATTCTTCTGATTCTTCAGCCCAAGTTACACCTTTGTACCTTTGATCTCGGCGATGTGCGCGTCGTACTCGCTTCTGCTACGCACATACTCGATTCTCGCGCCGACATTCTGGAAGCTCTGGCTGCGATATTCGGCATACCACTCCGACGGTGGCCGTTCATCCGACTCCGATCGCTGGACCCGCGGACTGCTGCATCTCCTCTGCGACAGGCTCTCCTCCGAGGGAAATCTCGTGAAGGAGGTGACCGAGCTGGACTTGCTGCCGTGACTCTGCACGCCGTGACTGTGACTCTGATAAGCCGAATCCTCGAGGACGTGCTCCTCGCTGGGAGTCCTGCTGGATTCCGTCAAGCGCTGCTGAACGACCCCCCCGGTGTCGCCGTTGCTCGTGCTGGCCGAGCTGATCGCCCGCACGCTCTTCCTCACGGTGATCTTCTCGAATTTTACAACCTTGGCGCCGTTCAACTCGCCTTCCTCCACGAGTCGCTCGAAGCTCTCCTCGAACGAGGAGTCGCTCGCCCTGGAAGACGGTCGCTGGTGCGTTGGCGATCGAAAGGATGACACGCGCGCGTCCGGGTTCTCCAGGAGATCCTCAGCGCTAGGGCTACGCCCGGCCGACCAAACCTGTTCGAAAAAGCTCACCCGGTCCCGCAGCCGGTTACCACGTGGCGTTCTCGGGCTACCACCACCACCGCTATCACCGGCGCCGCCAGCGCCGGGGCTGTCCACCCTCGGCGGGGTCGGACTGCCTTTGGGTGGTGTCGATCGCGACAATATTCCAGGGGCTGTGAGTCCCTTTATTTCATCGTTCTCGTCACGATTATCAACCGGCACGTCGCTCGCTCATCAAGTCCGCACGTCAGTCCGGTTCTTCCCTCTTCTCTTTCCTCTCCCTCCCCTCCCGGTCTTAATTTTACGCCCGAGATCCTCTACTAGCCCAACACCTGTTCTCTCGACACCACACCCCATACACTGGGTTGCATATGCCGCATTCGCGCCGACGTCACCTGTTCCGTTTCAATTGTCAAAAGCGCGCGAGTAGTAACAGACGCGACGGGTCGTCCCATCAATCTCGGCTCGACGTCAATCTGCAACCCCGCCTGCGAATATACCTCGGGCTGATCTTCTGTCAGCACCCATGACAGCCGAGCGCGCACCTATACGTATAGCTCGCGTCGGTGGCGCGCGCATGGAATGTACGAATACGGAATGTATACGGTATGGCCGTGCACGACGGGCGCCGGTTCGATACTACCGGCCTGTTGTCGAGACCTCCTCCTTCGGCCTCCTCCACCTCCACGTACCGCCGCCATTCCCACTTGCCCATGATGACGCGACGCGGCGCGACACGGGAATGACGCGGAATGCCGGTACCAAAGACGGACTTGATCGTGAACTCTCTAAAAAGGAAAATCCACATTTCTTCCTGAGATCCTGCTTCTTTTTCCGTGATCGATCGATTCTTCCATTTTGTCTTTCCCTCCCGTTTCCTGATCCGTTCGATCTACCTACGATGCCAGCCGGCGAGCAAACTACCTCGTCGATCGTCAATGCGGTTGCCTCAGGTGTTACCTCTCTCACGAGAGGAAATTTGGCTTGGGACGACTCGCAATTAATCAATTGATTATACGATTAAGAAATAAGATTGCGTTATGGTATGGGCGATTTTGTATAATATACATATACAGAATAAGAGATCCAAGATAGATAGAAAACTTACTCTGAAAGTAACGTGTATTCTTGTTTTCATATGAAATTTAATATCTTTCAAAAACTGAAGAGAACGAAGAGATGAATTGCTATGAAAGGGATGGTTTACTACGGATTCTGTTTGCTTTTCCTAGAGCTTTACTTGCTAATCCCTACTAAGTTGGGGTTAAGGTGTATAGTGAAATAAATGTCGGCGTCAGAGACGAAACCAGAGTGGTCTAAGATTGACGTTGTGGTGTAATAAAGGAGATTAAAGGTCTTAAAAGATAAAGATATACACGAAATTGTGCATCAAAATAATTTGTAAATCTTAAAAGGAGTTGAGAAAACTTCAAAAATTCAAGCGATCATTCACTAATATAATACGCAAATAAACGTTTTCTATTAGTATGCATGACATAGACATGGAAATAAATTAAATTACGTCATGCGCGTAGTTGCAACGCAAATTAAAACAGCTAAGTGCGTATAAATGATCGTTATCTCTGATCCCATCATTTCGCGAGCTGGGCAGAATTATCGTGCCATCGCCCAAAGATTGTTTCGAACAAGTACTTCTCTTTTGTTAATAATCAGTGTAAAACGATACGATTTCTTTAATACGATCATTAATGTCACGAACCAGTCATTAGTTTCAGTGCCGTGCGAGCGTTACTCTGACACGTCTCAATTATAAAGCAAGCTCTCAATTTATAGCGTCATCTCGCATCTTAATCACGACATGCAATATCCAGCGCACGATCATCAGCTTAGAAATCGAATTACTTCGCATTAGATTTAATCGACCGGCACGATGTCAATTTCATACACATTTATCTCTCCAAGTGGATCCGCTTGTACGAGCCGCGAGATTTATTAAGCGCACGTGAAGCATACGCGAGTACACATTAGAAATTTTGTAATGATCATGATCTATTAATAGTGAAATTCCAATTATCCGACGTTCCATCAAAAAATCATCTTGGCTTAACGATACGAGATATATTTGTGTGACAAACAACATTAAGCCATCCTGCTTCACATTGAAAAGTATAAGTAAAAATTCCAAAAATTGTGTTTTGAAACTTGCTAGGTGGCTAAATTAAATAAACGCTTTAAATTAGGATACAAATTATGATGCAAAATACCTTATTATGATACAAAAATCCGGCATTGTTCTTTTATCGAATTTTTGAAACAAATTGAATACATGGACTATGATTTTGGGGAATTTGGTATGTACGAAAATGACCGATCTGTGATATCAGTGTTATCTATCGATGAGATGATACGTTCCAGCGGGACCAACGAAGTGTCTCTGACAGGAAAAGCGAACGTAACGAATTGCGAACGGCGCGGCAGGTGTTCGTCATGTCTATTTATAACTCGTTCACGTCTCCGCTGATTCTATCCTATTTTCCCTTGCACCACGGTTCGATTCGACGAGTATGCGAAACGCACAACGCGACGTCGCGATGCGAGTAGATGCTCATTGCGCAAGAGGCGCAACGAATTATACGATCTTGCGAGTGCATATCGTATCAGCGATATAACAATCATCCTTATTTCAGATTATAAATTAAAATTATTTGTAGAAATTTCGAGTTTCTCAACAAATAATTTTAATTTTATTTCTGACATCTAATTTTATTATTGTATCAAAAAACCTAAAAACGTATACCTTATTCGCGGAATTCGATACTGCCAAATCATCAGCCTCATCGATAAAAGATTAGAAAATTATAGCAGAAATAAGTTTCCCCTCTAATGTTGTTTAAATATCGAAGAAGAATAAGAATTTTATGGTTTCCTTATGGCATGCATACGCAATCTCAGAGCCAATATCCCCATAGCCGAAATTTGCGTGCGCCAACAACACTGCTTCGTGATTTGTATCGATGAGAGATAGTTTATAATTAAGGGTTTCATAGGAGAATGAGAATTTAATGATAGTCCATTTTGGGCGGCGCTTAACGTGACCGATACGATTCCATCGCGAAACGAATCGATCCCCTAGGGGCTTCATAAAACTCACCCTGTAGTTGTTGGATGGTAGCTTGATACTCGGCGAGCTTTTCGTCCACGTAATCCTGGCTCTGACTGGCGATGATCTCGGCTGTGCTGGGCCCGCTGCTTTCCTCGTCCGTCTGCGTGTGATCTAAGGGCACGCCAATGTACTCGTAATCTCCGGGTCTGTAGGGTGCTATCAGATATTCCGGTGGTGCGCATGGTACCGGCGATGCCGAGTCGCTTCTGAAAAAACTCTGGAAGGAAAGAATGTTTTAACAGTGCCGTCCCAGTTGACGACGTGTTTCCTATCGACTCGTCATCACTATCATCCTCCGCGCTGTAGAAACAAATACCTGCGTCGGTATGAATGGCCTCGGCGCCTGACTGCTCGTAGGGATCGGCGAGGGCCATCGTGGCCTCGGGCACTGGATGTAACCGGAAGTCGGACAGCCGAAGACGGGCGACATCCCGGGTGAGATCGGCATCCCGATCGGCACCGGGCTCATCGGATGTATCATCATTCCGGGATACGCGAGCGGCGATATAGGACGACTCGGATGGATCGGAGTCGGCGGTCCGCGATAGACCCGTCCCTGCGGATGCGGCGATGACGAAGGCGTATACGGCGAGGCGGGCCTGAAGGGACTCGGCGCGCTGGGCGCGCTAGATCGTCCGGACCAACCACCCGGAGGCACGTAGCCTCCCCCGGGTGGCCTGGACGGATGCTGTTGCGACATTTCAGATTACTTCAACAGCCTGCCGCTTTGCTTACGACCTGCTAGCATCGCTGCAAGAAGAAAAGCGCTTTAATCTGATCTCCGTTATTTTTATTATCTCGATGAAACACTGCTTAACGTTAAAATTGGACAGTTTCGTCCGGGCTTCAAACACAAATCTGCAAATCGACTATGTATTTTCAGTTTCAGAAGCAGTATTTTATTTTATAATGAATCTTGCCTAGACGTGGCATTTGTATTTGTATTGGCGAAACGTATCGTAATATTGCATAATTTTGCGTCGCTTCTTCAAGTTAAAGCAATTCTGATGTTAACGGATCAGTGAAAAAAAAAAAAATAGAAAATAGTAGTTAGTTACGTATTTGCCGTCTTGAATACATCCGTCAATAAAATTTTAGTCACCTATTGTTTGAGATAAAATTGCGGAATACAATTCCGCAAATGAAAATAAGCGATATCTGGAGCGGGACATAATCTGACGTTTTGACTGACAGTGGATATTTTCAGAAAAACAAAACGGAGATGAACTTAAAGACATAAAGTGAACTCCGGGTCGCATAATAGCGTCGACTATTCGACATGGCACACGGCCAAAAGTTTCTCGAAATAGGTGAGCACCACTGTACGTATGTACCTATGAACTCTCGCACACTAATGCGGAAAGAAGGTATCCGTGTATAATTATCAAAATGTCAGAGAGAATGCGGACACGTTAGAGAAAACGAGTAAAGGGAGCGATATATAATAAACAGAGATTGTAGCAGCAATCTCGATAAAACGGATTTTTACCACTCCGGCCATTAGACGCGTAATTTTGAAGATATCTGTCAATTAAGAGGCAACCATTTGTTATATATTTGAAAGTATTCTGAACAGCATTTCGACAGATTTCCGGTCATAGAGTTCGTTGATACCAGAGATCTTGGCAACTGGAAACGGCAGGCTATATCTATTCAATTTCGCCGTCTATTTAATTTCGGGCCAGACGTATCAAATGCGTCACGCCCTTCTCGATCATAATTATCGCCTTCACATCACATTTACATTTCTTTTGAACGATAGGAATTTCGAGAAAATTATTTTTTTCCTGCGCAATTTTATTATTATTATTATATTTTACAATAGAGTTAGATTGAATAGCAATGTCGAGATCCTCAAGTAGCGAATTGTTCTCATCGTTCTCTCGTATTGTTCTTCACGTCTTTAACGAGTGTGCAACGAGCATTTATATTCGGTATTAGCCTCGTTCTATTGTTTCGCCGAGGTATTTTACGTCCCGTAAAATGTGAAAGAGGAAGTCTGCGATGTTGTGAACGCGCGCAGACTGAAAAGTCTTGAGCTTTTTAACCAGATACCGAGTGTAGGCCGGCTAAATATAGCGCTATTTCTATTTGCGACCAGCGCGGCGTTTTATACACGCGTCCGACAAGCCGGCAGGTATATTCGCAATGATCGCGTCGGGTATTTCGGAAACTGACACGGATATTAACAGCTGTAATCGCCTATCGTGGTCGTCGTCTGGTCGTGCCGGTTTGATCGTACCACAGCGTGGAGCGCTGGAAGATAATTTGACAAATGTAAATTCCAAGAGCACCGACAACAGTTCGATCTCGCAAATGAATGATCTTGCTATGCGTCACGATTTCGTCGCGACGTGCCGTCGTTTGACAGCAGATGTTTTTCGTTCAAAATGATCTTCCATTGGTTGTGATCCAAGAACGCAATCGGCATAAATCGAATAGAACGTAACACGACAGGCTTGAAGCTCAAGCTTGAAATTGAACGAAATATAATATTTCCATTGTCTGGATCTTGTAGAATCACCGTGCTAGTTTGTATAATTTAAGAGTAAGTATAATTTAAGAGCAATTTATATCGTCCTTTGAAAGTCCGTGAGAATTTTCCGTTCACGACATTCTTTTCGTTATGACACTCGAGCTGTATCTCATCTATGCGTGTACGTAACATATGTCTTTTTGTCATAACTCTGGAATATATTAGCGGCACGAGGAAAGGTAAAACACGAGGAAATAATAATAATAATTGAAACACTGATTTCGAAGAACATAATAAATAAAAAATAGACGCTATAGACGATAATTAAAAAAAAAAACACGCAGAATCGCAATTTGTAAATAATTTGTGATCGATCCGAATTTTTCTAATCGATAGAATTATAAAAAGATAGAATTGTAAAAGTTAGAATTGCGATAGTGATGCGTTTCGCTCGTGCTTTAAAATATTTCTTGATCTTGATCTCGGTCACGCAAAGAAAAGCAGGGGGACATTGTCAGATCGCTGGAAAATTTATTGCGAAGGCAGATTATCAGTGAGCCAGTCAAATGTTAGGCGGCTCGCTGGATCCTGGACCTCGGATGCTGCGTCCAAAAATAAGATCTCTCTCTGAATTGATGATCAGAAATAGTCGGCATTCGGAATGGATGTCGCTGACAGAATCGTCCGCGCCGGTTTGCCGGTCAGCAATTATTATTGGCATCCTCATCCGACCGTCATCTACGACATGACATCACCGTACAATCACGATGCAAACACACTTTACGTGTCATTAAACGGGCATCGTAATGATTCCATTTCAATGCATACGAAGTTCATTCGCTGCACTTGACTTCAAGTAGGATATCTCAAGTCGACTCGTTAAACTTGACTTTGCACGCAATGTAGATTATTACACAAGACTTTTTTTCTATTAAGTTTTTAGATAAAATTTATAGTCTGAAATTTTTTAAGAAAAGAATCGAAAACATTACCGTCCTGAAATAAGAGAAATAGTCTGAAACTGTTGTTTTTTATTCTCGAATAATACTCGTACGTAACTTTATTTTTAATTTTATTCGAAAAATTTTTTTTACATCAATCTGAGAATGATTGTTGTAAAAAATTTATAACAAAACAAAATCGTATGATCCATATATCGCAATACCGCAAATAATTAATCAAATCAGAAATTATTATGATAAAATAAAATCAATAAAAATTTTATAAATTGCGCAACGTTCTGTCACCATCGCGTACGCAAACAGCCACCTACGCGAACAGTCACCTACCTTATAAAAGGCATTCCAAGATCCTTAATCATAATTTTAACAATTTTTCTTTTATGTTATTTAATTATATCGTACAAATTAAATTCGTCGAAAATCTTTAACTATCTTAATTTCAAATTTTCTACAACTTGAAAGCTACTGATGCTTCAACATTAGAAAAAAAATTTCCAATAAATTTGACAGCAATTTGAAGCAAAAAAGTTAGAATCGAGTCTAGAATCTTGGATATATATTTAATGCAAATTACCGGCCACTCCAGGGAATCCTTAATACAATCCAACAGACAATCTTGATATGCAAGAAAATGTGAAATCAGATTATACTTCGAAAATCGCACTTTTTCTCTCGTTTCCGCTTTCGTTGGGATTCACTGCGAAACTCGCGGTTGGTCAAGAGCTGATAGCAAGGGAGAAACTTGATCGATATGTAGTAAGCTCGGGATAGTAACGAAAAAGG